CGCCTTGTTCGCGTGGCTTCGGTACATTTGGGACTGCGTGTCGTTTCCGACACATGACCCCGCCTCGTTCGCGTGGCTTCGGTACGTTTGGGACCACGTGTCATTTCCGACGCATGACCCCGCCTTGTTCGCGTGGCTTCGGTACGTTTGGGACTGTGTGTCGTTTCCGACACGTGATGACCCGCCTCGTTCGTGTGGCTTCGGTACGTTTGGGACCACGTGTGGTTTCTGACACATGATGACCCCAGCGCGTAGGTGTGGATTTTGCTTTCACAATCAATAGTGTTTTAAGTAAATGAACGTATCTTTTTTCTATTTACCATTCTGGCGTTCTTTAATTCTTCATGGAGATCCAGTTTCTTGCTGCTACTTTCACCCTAACTAGCTACTTCTAACGTTTCCTGTACTTCACATCTGTTGGAACTGATTCTTTTCACTTTGGCTTGTCAAAATCTGCCCCTGTGTTAGAAATCTAATTTCCAGTGGGGGTAGAATTCTAGTTGCAAGTTTTTCCTCCCAGCACTTTGAAGACATCCTTCCATTGTCTTTCGGCTTCCACAGTTTCTGACGAAAGGCTCAAATCTTTTCTTATCTTTTGTCTTCCTCATGAAATGTACAGTTTTTTCTCTGGGCCACTTTTCAGGTTTCTTTATCACTGGTTTTCTGCAGTTTGCCTATAATATACCTTGGATTTAAAAAATATATATTTGTTCGGCTTGTGGATTGGTGAAATTCTTGAATCTCCGAGTTTGTAGTTTCATAAAATTTGAGTACTTTTGGTCATTATTTCTGGCAATTCTTTTTGTTTGTTTTGTGTCCCCTCCCCCCTGCTGCCCCCCTCCCTGTGTGTGCCCCTTACTGGCCTGTGACCTTGAGCAGGTCACCTGCCCATCTGTGAATGGGGAGGGTGATCCTGGTCCCTAGGATGGGTTCTCGTGCTCCTCTTGCCAGAGCTTGTTCCATGGTAAAAGAAAAACTTGAGCTGAACTAAATTTAAAGGAGTTTAGTTGAGCAATGAACAATTCATGAATTGGGCAGCCTCCCGAGCCAGAGTATGCTCAGAGACTCCAGCACAGCCATGGGGTAAAAGATTTTGGACAGAAAAAGGAAGTGACATACAGAAAACGGAAGTGAGGCATGGAAACAGACCGGTTACAGCTTGGTGTTTGCCTTATTTGAACATGGTTCGAACTGTTGGCTACGTTTGGCCAAAATTCAGTGACTGGCACAAGTGTAGGGCACGGTCCGTTTACACTGCCTGTTGATATCATTCAAGATGTACAAATCAACCTGTAGGCCACACTGAAAATATGTAAGGAGGCACCTTTAGGCAAAACTTGATTTAACTCATCATCACTCTTGTTGTTCCACGAATGCAACTGAGACCCTGGCTTGACCTTGCTAGGCTGGGCCATGGTGGCATCGAGGGGTGGTGGGTGCTGGGTGATGCCTCCTGGAGGCCGCCTGGCAGTTCCTCCTTTCTCCAGTCCTTGCCCTGAGTGCAGCTGCTGGACCCGGAGGCCTGGGGCTGGAGCAGGGTGGAGGTAGCCGGACGGAAAGTATGCAGGGGGCCAGGACTTGCCCGGGAGCCAGAGGTGCACAGAGCATCCGTGGACAGACCTGCGCACTCCCAGATAGAGTGCTAGGATCAGCCCTGCCCTGACCAGGCAGCTCAGTGACCCCGAGCAGAGCCGGACTTGGGCCTTGTCCTGGTGGAAACCCAGATGTCCAGCCAGGGGTGCTGTGTACCTTCAGGCCGCGCCACCTGAGGCCAGTCCACACAGGGTTGGTGTTGGGAGGGTCCCCGTAGCACCCCTAGTGTCTTCTAGCCCTCACACCTGTTTGTAGACCTCAAACCACGCTCTTTTATTGCTAAATTTTAATATGGAAAATTGTAAACTTGCAGAGAAAGTTGAAAGAACTGCACAGACACCCCCATAGCTGCTACCTGGATGCCAGCCTGGAGTCTCTACCTGGTTTAGTCACGCCTTTAGTGCCTCCACCTGCGTGCATTTCAGAGTGAACTTGGCCCTCAGTGCGTTTCCTTCCGAACGCTGGTTTACTTGCCATTCACTCCTCTTTCATTTATGTACAGTGAACCGCACAGCTCCTAAATGTGCCATCCTGGGCATTGTGACAGTTCGTGGCAGAAGTGTGTAACCCACAGCTCTGTCCAGGCCCAGGGCAGGCCCTCACCCACAAGGGTCCCTCCGGCCCTGCCCCAGTTCCCTGGCCTGGCCCGGAGGCCCCGGGGATTGCCTTGGTCGTTCTGGACCTGCGCCCCGTTTGTGCTGTCGTCTGAGCAGTGTTTCTGAGATTCACCGTGTTGCGTGCCTGGAGTTTCCTTGCATGCAGGCCCATGTGGCCGTCCCTTCCCTGCAGCCCTCTCTTCGGGTGGGGGCTGGTAGCAGTCAAGCTGCCGGGAGCTGGGAGTGCTCTTCAGGAGCTTCTCTGGATGTGTGCTCTGCTCCTCTGTGAACCCCGGGGCTGCTGGCTGGAGGGTGGGCAGGCCTCGAGTGTTTTGATGTGCTTCGACGTACGCTCTGCCCCTCTGTGTAAATGCCCAAGATGCTGCCTGGGGGGCGGGCAGAGGGCGAGTGCTTGCCGCTTGCAGACCCTTCCCGTAGTGGCCGTGCCGTTTATCCTCACCGTGCGGCGGGGGAGCGTTCCATCCACCATGTCCTCATGCGAGTGCTTGCCGCGTGCAGACCCTTCCCGTAGTGGCCGTGCCGTTTATCCTCACCGTGCGGCGGGGGAGCGTTCCATCCACCATGGCCTCATGCGAGTGTTTGCAGCGTGCAGACCCTTCCCGTGGTGGCCGTGCCGTTTATCCTCACCGTGCGGCGGGCGAGTGTTCCATCCACCATGGCCTCATGAAGACTTGCTGTCCTCACAATGTTCTGTAGGTTTTTAAAAACTGAGATAAAACCCAGTCACTCAGAATTCACCATCTTAATCATCTTAAAGCATACAGTTCAGTGTCTGTTAGAATATTCAGCATTCTATAATCACCACTTTCTAATTCTGAAACGTTTTCATCACCCCCAAAAGGACCCCCGTACCCATTAGCAGTCATGCCCATTCCTCCCTCTCACTGCCCCTGCCCCGGCTCTGTCCGAGGATTGGTTTGTTCTGACGTGGTAGATGTGTGGAACCATGCAGCATGTGGCCTTTTCCCGCTGGCTTTCATCTCCGTGTGTGCTGCGCTCAGAGCTCACCTGCATTGTGTGGAAACCAGTGTTTCTGTCTCCGATGCTGAGCTGGCGGTGCAGAGCTGGACCTCATGTCTGTTACTTCGTCAGCGGTGCTGTGCTTTGACTCTTAGTGATGCTGCTCTGAGCCTCCACGAGCAGGTGCTTGTAGCTGCCGGGCACACACGCCAGCTGCTGCGGTGTACGGGAGCTCAGGGTGCAGCCTTTCTGAGGGACCACCCCCTGCCTTCCTCTCCTTTCTTCCAGCTCGTGGGTACTTTGAAGGCAGGCATGGGTGTCCAGCCCTGACCCCAAGGTGGCCAAGCCGCAAAGAACCCCTGAGAGGGGTTCAGGGCCACTTTGCCGCCTCTCAGGTCCCTGCCCCTGGGGACTGCCCAGAGCGGTTAGCAGAGCTGGGCCTGCAGGCTTCACCCTCAGCCTGTGTTCTCTCCTCCTCCCTGTCTTCTCCCAGCCACCCAGGTCGATCCACGTGACCTCCAGGAGCTGTTCCAGGAGATGTCAGCCAACGTCTTCCAAATCAACTCCAGTGGTGAGTCTGCGTCTGGCCCGGGCCTGCCCCTCCATCCAGGTGCCCTGGACCCCGACACGACGTTGGGAGTCGAGGGTGCTGGTGCATGGCGTCCCCCCCTCAGGCTGTCTTGTGGTGCAGTCCCGGGTTTCTTGGGTGGGAAGGAATAAGTGCTGGGTCAGGGCCGGGTGCCGCTTCCGCCGGCTGCTCCTACCCGCTGCTGGCTCCTCTCCCTGACCCCACGCTGCTCCTTCTCGACACCTTTTGTGTGATCTGGATGGAGCCCAGTGGAGGAAGGAGCATCCCAGGGCCTCTCAGACTTGCAGACCAGAGGTCACTGCAGGAGTGAGCAGAGCCTTCAGTCCTTAGGGACACCTTAGCCTCTCAGAGGGCCCTGTTGGTGCACATAACTTGTGTAACTCTGGCCTGGGTCTGTGACTCTCCCATCTCTTCAGTGTGGTGAGCACAATTCCCAGCGAAGCTGTTGCATTTAGATCTTTGAGAGCAGGGACGAGAGCCACGTGTCAGATGGCCAGGGGAAGGGGAAGGGGTGGGGTGAGGGGAGCAGGGTGGAGAGAAGCTGTCCCCAGAGCCAGGGCAAGGCTGCTGGAGGCAGCTCCTCAGAGCCCCTGAGCTGCACGTGGGCCTGAGCGCCTGTCGCAGACCAGCTGAGGGGGGGTCCTGGCTGGTGTGACCTTATGCTGAGGTCAGTGTGTGCCCTGGTCTCCAGGCCACTTAGGTGGTCTGCCCTGGCTCAGGCACTGGTCCTTGGGCTCTGCTCACCCTGCCTGGGCTGCAGTGGGCCACCCATGTGGAGTAGCAGGGGCAGGGAAGCTCCTTCTGCCCTCACCCTGTCCCTCTTCTCTCGGGCAGTGACCTCCTTGGAGCAGAGCCTTCAGTCCTTAGGGACACCGAGTGACACGCAGGAGCTTCGGGACAGCCTGTGAGTGTGTGGGCCATGGCATCTCCATGCCTGGGCGTGGTGCACATTGGGGGGCAGGGGCAGGAGTGTAGTCCTGTGCACACAGGCTTTGTCCACACAGCTGCCTGCCCACAGCTGCCTGGGCACACGTGTGCACATATATGCACACACACCTACGGATAAGCCTAGTCAGTGCTGTGAACCTGAGACTGGGCTCTCAGCCTGCAGGCGCCCGGGGCACGCAGGTGCACCCCGCCCCGACGTGGAAGCCTCAGTGCACCTGTGCATGCCCCAGTCACGCGCATGCGTGTGCTGAGGTCGGGGATGCATGCCTCCTGGCACACGCTTTTCCCTGCCAACGTGCTCCAAATGTGTCTTTCACGTCTGAAGGCTCCCTGTTGGGGCCTGCTCAGCTGTGGACACAGGAGGTGAGACCAATGTGCCATTTGCACAGCCATGGGCTAGGTTGGAGTGGGGCGTCCTGTCTCGCTTCTGCCCTTTCGGGGAGCTGAGCCTTGGCGGGCTCCCACTGGACTTTCCTTGAGGGGTGCCTAGCAGCCTGCCCTGGGTTGGGCTGGTCTGGGATGGGGAGAGGTGCCTTGGGTGCTGTCTGCTAAGCCTGAGCCCTGGCTGGGCTGGGGAGGGGAGGGAAGGGAGCATCTGTCCCAGGTGTGGTGAGAGTGGCACTCTGGGGTCCGAGGGGACACTAGCAGTCTATACCTTGGCCCTCCATCTGGTCCCCGCTGCACTTGCTGCTGTGACCTTCCATGCTTGCCTGTGTCTCGCCCTGCAGTGAGCAGGATGCCCGCAGCCCCAAGGACCCCAGCCAGCCCCAGGCCACTGCATTGGAATGTTGTCCTCAGGCTCCCCTGTGTAGAGCTGGTGGCCACACCAGCCTCGTGCCCTGAAAGGGCCAGAACTGAGGAGGCTGGGAGGGCCACGGCTCCCACAAGGGTAGAGGGTGCTGGAGTCTCTGCTCCTCCTCACAGTGGCTCCATTCAGTATCCACAGGCGCCCTGCCACACAGCCCCACGCTCCAGCTGCAGAGCACCCTTTGCAGATGTTCAGGGCAATTCTATTCTTAGCCTTTTTTTTTTTAAGCCCTTTTATGAAACTGAAACTTACTGTTTTCTGATGTGACAGTGACGTAGGCTTGTGATGAGGAATTTGGACACAGGACGCCTGGGAACCACTGTTAGCATGTCAATGTTCCCTGCCAGCCTTCCTCACACCCGTGCATATTCGCAGAGTCAGAGCTCAGCGAGGGACCCTGGACCTGCTGGTCACACCCGGACTCTGGGGTACTCAGGCTCAGGAAACGCGTAGCCTCTCAGAGGGCCGTGTTGATGCACGTAACTCGTGTAACTCTGGGCCAGGTCTATGGCTCTCCCATCTCTTCAGTGTGGTGAGCCGAGTTCCCAGTGAAGCTGTTGTGTTCAGGTCTTTGTGCCTCTGCCCGGCTCCTGGGTTAGGTCACAAGGGCCAAGTGGGACGGGCACTTGAGGACCCTGGCCCTCATGTGCGCATCCTGGGCCGCCCGGCCTGGTTAGCCGAAGACCGACACCACCCACTGTGGGCCTTGGAGAGGAGAGAGGGCCCCAGCGTGGGGGAGGAGACTGTCCTGGTCTGAGGACCGAGTATCCCAGCACCGTGGCCCTCCCCTGGGCCAGCCTCAGCTGTCAGGTCTGGACACTCTTGCCTTAGTACTTTTCTGGTCCTCCCTGTGTGGCCGGCTGTGGTCCTAGCCTGCTTGTCATAGCTTATCTAGAGCCTTCTGTGGCCCCTCGGATGCTCCCATATCATGGACTGTTAACGTTTAAAAATAACTTTTGAGACCAACATGATTGCCAGTTCTGTATTTCCTCCACATTGACGAAGTCGCCAACTAAGGACATTTAAAGGATATACCTTCATCCATGGCCGCCATCATTTCATCAGGGAAGAGGCTTTCCAGCCCTGCAGTGTAGGAGGGACCCAGTCTCAGGAGGGAGGGTGGTCCTTCCACCTGAATACATTCAGCTTCAGAAAAACCTCACCAGGTGGGGCCCATTTCCCTCATCCCATGCAAGGCTGATGTGGCCAGGTCATTTCTGTCACCTGCCTGCAGACCCCACCCCAGGCCTCCCTGTCACAGACCCCCACACTGGAGTCCAGTGGCCACGTTGCAATCCCGTGGGCGGGGCTCAGTGGCAGCTCGGCTCACACACTCCTGTCTGGGCTCTATTCCCTTCCACCCTGGGGGCCGTCACCATGTGGAGATGGTGTGTGGGCTGGCTCACCCCATGGTGTGTGGCTGTCAGAAATACTCGTTCCTTGGTGCCGAAAAGAAGAACTAGTGTTCAGACAAAGAATTTTCTCAGCAAGGCAATTTTACTTTCTGCAGAAGGAGTGCTGCCTGTTAGCAATCCTGCCACGAGAGCACAGTTGAACAAAGAAAGGCAAGAATATTTATCCCTTATGCATTGGGTCCTTTAGACCTGATTGGCTAACAGCTTAAAACTTTCCTGAATAGGTAAAGGCAAAGGAGAACAAAAGGAAAAGAGGAAGTTGCTTGTGAAAGAACTTAGAAAAGTAGTCACATTTCCAAATAAGGACGGTGTGTAGGCTATGAGCCGGGACGTGTTTGAGCATGTTTAGAACAAGTATCTTGGTTAAAGTACAAAGACATAGAATGTACTTATTCCCTTATATCTAACAGCTACATAGAATAGGACTTGGCAAAGAGTTATTAGTATAAAAGCAAGGAGGCTTGAAGGAAGTTAGTTTTTTTAAAAAACTATTATTTGTAACACTTATGATTTATTCTTTAGTAAGAAGGGAAACTTTGAAGGGGACATTTTTTACTTTCCACAGTGGCACAGAGGACCCGCTCCCCTTGGAGCTTTTGGACTTGTTCCTGTGGACCGTGTTCTCTGATCTGCCTGGGGCACGCGTGTTCTCTGATCTGCCTGGGGCACGTGTCTCTGATCTGCCTGGGGCATGCGTGTTCTCTGATCTGCCTGGGGCACGCGTGTTCTCTGATCTGCCTGGGGCACGTGTGTTCTCTGATCTGCCCGGGGCATGCAGGGGTTCGCTAATCTGCCTGGAGCACGCATGTTCTCTGATCTGCCTGGGCCACGTGTGTTCTCTGATCTGCCTGGGGCACGCAGTGATGCCTCCCTCTCACCTCTCTGGGTGTGGTGAAGGTGTAGGTTGAGTGGCCCTAGTGGGGGTGCATTAGAGGTGGCTGCTGAGGGTCTGCTGGCCCGCTGCCCAGCATGCAGCGATGGGAGTGGGATCTGGGTGAGCTGGGCTGCTGCTCCACATGAAGTGTGCTCTTCTTCCCGGCCTGGGATTTTTATGTCAGAATCAGCACCAGAAGGGCTCAAGGAGCCTTGGGTGACGTTCATTCAGCACTGCAGGCTCGTGCTTGGCAGCTCTTTCAGGGGCTTAGTCCTAACAGCCCGCCTCCTGCAGTGAGAGCTTAAGCAGGGCAGGGCCATGATCCATGTATGCAGTTCATCCCATCCCACTGGATTGAAGGCAAGTCCCTGTGGCAGGGGGGTGGCCAGCAGGGTATGAAGAGCTGACCTCCTGCAGTGCCCGATGGAGGGCTCTGTGAGGGGGCCAGAGAGGGCTCACAGTGCCCTCCATATGTAAAGACAGACCCATTTGCCAGCTGGTGTAGAATTGCACCCCTCTGTCCCTCTGTAAGAATGGACCCGTTCACCAGCTTGTGCAGAACTGTGCCCCTCAGTCCCACTGAGAACGCACCCATTCGCTAGCTGGTACAGAACCGTGCTCCTCTCCTGCTGTAAGGATGGACCCAATTGCCAGCTGGTACAGAACTGCCCCCTCTCTGTCCCACTGTGAGGACAGACCCATTCACCAGCTTGTGCAGAACTGCACCCCTCTGTCCCACTGGAAGGACGGACCCATTCACCAGCTTGTGCAGAACTGCTCCGCTCTGTCCCACTGGAAGGACGGACCCATTCACCAGCTGGTGGGCATTTGGGTGACTTCATTTTGAGCACGATGAATAAAGCTGTGGTGAATGTAGGTGTGTAGGTGTTTGCGTGGGTGTAGGTTTTCACCTATCTTGGATAGATCCCCAGGACTGGACTTGCTGGGTTATACAGTGGCTCTTTGTCTAACCCTTTGAGGAACTGCCAGACTTTCCAAAGCAGCTGCCCCATTTTACACCCCAACCAGCAGTGCTGGAGGGTTCCCATCTCCCCACCTCACTGCCAGCACTTGTTGTTATATGTCTTTTGGATGTGGCTATCCTCGTGGGTGCGAAGTGGGGTCTTGTGGTGATCTCATTTGCATTTTCCTGATAATTGATAGCTTCAAGCATCTTTTGATTTGCATATCTTCTTGGAATAAATGTCTATTCAGATCCTTTGCCCATGTCCTGATTGGGTATTTTTCTTTTTACTGTTGAGTTGATTCCTTCTAGAATTTTTCTCCTCCTGTGCAGCCCATGCTCTCCAGGGCTGTCACTGGTGCTGTTTCCTCATCCGTCTCATGCTCTCCGGGGCCCTGGCAGGTTCCTCATCCGTCTCATGCTCTCCGGGGCCCTGGCCTTTGCTGCTGCAGGTTCCTCATCTGTCTCATGCTCTCCGGTGCCCTCGCCTTCACTGGTGCTGGTTCCTCATCCATCTCATGCTCTCCGGGGCCCTGGCAGGTTCCTCATCCGTCTCATGCTCTCTGGGGCCTTTGCTGCTGCTGGTTCCTCATCCGTCTCATGCTCTCTGGGGCCCTGGCCTTTGCTGCTGCAGGTTCCTCATCTGTCTCATGCTCTCTGGGGCCTTCACTGGTGCTGGTTCCTCATCCATCTCATGCTCTCCTGGGCCCTGGCGTTCGCTGCTGCAGGTTCCTCATCTGTCTCATGCTCTCCGGGGCCCTGGCCTTCATTGGTGCTGGTTCTTCATCCATCTGCTCCAGCCTCTTTTCCTCTCTGATCTCCTCCCCTCCCTTGGTGGTATTGCATATCCCACAGCTCAGAATCCCTCCTCAGTGGAGCGTTGGAACCCTAGGTG